CTCGAAGATGGGTGGTGGGGATAATTAGGAGAGTGGAGACTTCTTTACATCTTGAGGTCTTTGCCGCGTAATGTGTATTTGAGGCTTAGGACTGAGTGCCAGGACAGCCCCGCATGCTTCCTGAGGAGCAGGCATGTGACATGAGATTTGGTGACTGGAGAATGGGGGTTCCTGGCACAGAAGCATCTGCTGTTAACAACTGACTAAATGTACACTTGTCTTCTTTGGTCAGTGTCACTGTAATGTGACAGTTTCCTCTGATCCCAGCCACAATCCTTATGCCAGCAGCAGCTGCGATGCCAACTGCCTGGCAGTCCTGTGGTTGTGTCAGTGAATGGGACGATGGTGCTTGGGGGTCAGGTAGGATGAAGAATCAGGAGTTGGTCTGTCTACCTCTGTGAAGATTATCGGTTAAAGATTACAAGCCATGTTCAGTGGAAAACCAGAAACGAGCATCCTGGACCTCCCTGGTCCTAGACCTGCAAATCTAAATATAGAAACTTATAAATAGTGACAAGTGACCCACAGACATTTTGAGCTGCTAAGAGACAGCCCTGGGCTACAAGCTGCTTTGTTTTGCCAGTGTGTTTTCTGGGGTTTTGTTTCTTAGGGCAGTGCTTACAGGCTAGAGAATTCATGATCAGGTAGAAAATGAGACTGTGTTCCCCTGAAATATCCTGTTTTAGTTCAAAACAGTCTCCACCTGCAGTTTCTGGTGCCAGGCAAGATTGTGAAAAACATTTTAAGCTCTGACAAAACATTAAGTAAATGCAGAAATAAATAAATAAGTTAGTTAGTTAGTTAGTTAGTTAGTTAGTTAGTTAGTTAGTGCCCTGAAATTGCTGGTAATGAGTCAGTGCAAGGAACAGAACTGCTTATAGCAGCCCAAGGAGAAAGGCGTGAAACTGGAACTGGACGCTCCATTGGGGTGGTATTGGTTGGAATTGTTTTCTTCACTTTCTGTTCCTTCTCAAAACTGCCAGAAGTACATTTGGTACCAGGATAAGAAATTCCTGTTCCTCCTTGCTGTTCCTATATGTCAGTCCTTTGTAGAGGGATATCAGACTCCCCCGACCCCCTGGGCAGTGGCCCTGCCAACACTCCACTGCCTGGCCCTCTGCTGACCCAATCATTTAACTCTTCCCTGTGTTAGCTCTCTCATTTGTGTGACATTCAGAATACAGAGACATGACAGCTGGATTGATGGTTTTGTTTGGCCCGGATGAGTAACTTAGATATTTAAGCAGATTCTTTCTAGGAAAGGGACCTAGATCTCATAACAAACATATTTTTCCGCCTTGCATTTCTCCTTCCCAGTTGTCAAGAGCCATATTTTTGAAGAAGAAGAAAAAAAAAAAATCACTATTTTCCAGGTTTAAATTTGCTGTTGGTTCATATTCTCTAAGAATTCCATAACCAGCTATTTTTACACTGACTTTGTTATTTTTAGTTGTTAAAATCGTTAGATTGAAAGAGTATAGTGCTCCCATCCCCCACAATGGTCCAGGCTGCAAACAAACCAGTCTTTTTCTTCTCTTGAACGTCATCTTCTATTTATGCATGGCCTACTTTCAGCCTGCACTCCCCCTTTAACCCATGGTAATTTGTCAAGCTCCAGCTAATCTCCTTAATCCACTGGGCTGAAGGATTTAAGTTTAATGTTTTAATCTAGGGGCCTCAGTATTTAAGTAATTAGAGGTCATATTTCTAGCTCTCTCCTTTAGATAAATTACCTTAGTTTGCTCTTCAATTCTAATTTATAAATAACAGAATTCTAAGAATTTGAAGTGCGCATAATTTGGAGTTTTGGTTTGAATGCCCGAATTAAGAGCATTCTGTGATACTTATGTTTCTTGCCCTCACTCTGAAAGAGTCTCAAGCCTGTGAATTTCCCTTAAGAGTTCACTTTCATTTATTATCCATTTGTATAGGATGTGATGTGTTAATTGAAAACCTGCAAAATATATATATATACATGTATATATATATGAGTAATATCAAATCAGTACTTAGTATTTCCATTTCTTTTGATGCTTAAAGATTTGATTAATATGTAATAACTGCATATTTGTGAAATAGTATGACACTTCAATACATGTTTACAGTATGTACTAGTCAGATATGGTAATTTATTTTCATTTATTACATGTTCAGAGGTTGTGATTGAAATTGGCGTTTAACATATTAACATACTAAATAAAGTAGACACTTGCTATTATATTTTAAAGTTCTTTGTTGTTTTCCTGAATCCTGTATACTTGGAATTCCTTAAATCATTTCCAACATTTTTTTCAATCATGCCCAAGAACTTGTGAGCTTTGGAAAGAATTATTCTGCTATCAGTTAATCTGGACATTCTTACAGAACGCTTCAAACATCCTCCCTAACAAAACAATTTAGACACAGGAGGGCCCTAGTTTTACATTCTACATTTCCCCTTTACAGTCAGCAGACACTGAGAAAAAGAACGGATAAGAGCCTGTGTACTGTGAATGGCAGAAAAGTGGGAAAACTAGACACTTAGAAAAACATTGTCCTAAACCTCTGTGTGGCAGCCTCTGATGCCTTATCTCTACTGACTCACGTCATCTCACAGATCTGCACCCTAGTGTCTCAACACCACTGCCCTGCCGTCTGAGAGGCTCAGGCTAACAGGAAGGCTGGACAGTCTCGCGGGCCTTCTCTGGTGTGGGAACCCAGACCGGTGTGTGGCCTCTTCTGGAATTCTCATTACTGGGTACAGCACTTTAATTATGTTGCTTCTAGGTCAGAAAACTCAACAGAGCTCTGCCTGTCTCTGACTCCTGAATGATGATCAAAGTTGGATGTCACTGCACCAGGTCCCACACTCTCTTACAAGAGAATATTGAATATAGAAACACTTTAGGTATCAGTGAAAGTAATTTCCAGGCTAAAGATTTTAGTAGGAAAAAAAAAAAAAAAAAAAAATGAAGGTAAGATGGAGTGAGACATCTTGTGGTGATTGATGGCTAGCCAGCCTTCGCTCCAGGAGGTTGAGGGAGAGGCTCAGCAGGGCCAACTGGGACTACAGAAATTCATGACTTACTGGCAAATTTACAAGAGAACAGTTCTCATTAATAAAATCAGCTTGATTGGATAATGTCTTGAATTTCTGTGAGACCCTGAACAAAGATTTTAACAGTACTATGTGTCAGTTGACTCATCTGTGAAGACCCAAGAAGTTCTGGAGAAGCGCTCCGAGCACATGCTCAGATGCTGCACCCATGAGGTGGGTGCGACTAGTTAAGACTAAGAGTTATCTCAACCTTAAGGAAAAGGTAGAGGGGCTCCATGGGTAGAGGTGCCTGTTGCCAAGAGGGGCAGAGAAACTGAACCCCAGGATGCACTTACTGGATGGAGAGAACCAGTGCTGGCAAGTTACCCTCTAAATGCCCTACTCACAAATAATTGTAAAGACCTCAGTGAAAGAACGAGGAGGTGTTTCAAGTGGTGTTAAAAATGAGACTGAGAACAGGGCCTTGCTCCTTCTGCCAGCACAGTACAGTATGTCAGAAATCTTCACAAGCTGAACTCACGTGTCCAGCCAGCTCTGGCCGGTCAGTTTCATGGTCCGATCTGCTCCCCCTCAGCCCCCAGGCAAATGCTATTTTCTCAACGTCCTCAAATGCACTTGATGTGTTTGGGAACTGAGTCAAGAATCCAACATGATTCGTCAAACCCCGAAGCTGGTGCCTAAGGGAGAAGGCTTCAGCTCTTAGGTGTCATAAGACCTGCCAGCTAAGGGGCCCCTAAAACGGGTTGGTGGTGGTAGCCTTTAATCCCGGAGGCAGAGCAGGTAGATCTCTGAGTTTGAGACCACCCTGGTCTACAGAGTGAGGTCCAGAACAGCCATGACTACACAGAGAAACCCCATCTTAAAAGAAACCAATGTGAGTGGGACGAGACAAGGTCTCACTATGTAGACCAGAGAGTGACCTGACCTGAACCGCAAGAGATCCACCTGCTGCTCTGCCTCATAAGATTGACTGTGTGAGCTCACAGCGCCTGACTTCCCTTCCGCCTTCACAAGCTTTACAACAAATGGGGTAGCAGCTTTAGTGCTTACAGGGAGCAGATGTAGTTACATTTTAATTTAAAAAATTACAAATGATAGTATTTTGGATACTTTGAAACACCATACACATAGTGGAGCAACTTTCTGTATATTTGTGACACCCTTCTCAAAGGCAGGCAAAGTGTAGCCACTAGTGTATCTACTATAGTTTTCTTTAAGAGGTAAATTTAAAAAAAAAAGTATTATAACAGACCTCCAGACATAGTGCTATACACCTTTAGCCTTAGAACTTGGGAGGCAGTGGCAGGCAGATCTCTGGGTTTGAGGCTGGCCAAGGCTAAGAGAGACTCCACATACTAAATAAAAGTGGTTAATTTTTTTAAAGCCTGAAGCTATTCCCTTCAGCGTCTTCATACTTTGATTTTACGTGTCTTAGGAAACACTGACAGGGACCAAGGAAGTATTAATCCCAAGTTTTGCACTTTCGTTTTGCCTTTTTCTTTCAGACTGGTGAGGCCCCAACAAGACAAAAGGGACACCTCAAAACTTTCTGGTATCAGAAATGCTATGCATCTTGATGGCTCATGGGACACACAGGGGTACACTCTAATCCTAGTCAAGGTCTCTATGCTTTACCACGTGACTCAATGAGAGGTCTTTAAGGCAGTCTGCAAAAACTGAACCTTGAGAAAGGCATCCTGCTGTAGCACTGTGGAGCTGAGGCAGGGGGATCTCAGGCCTGAACAATCAGAGGGGTGTCTTTAAAATGAGACGGTTTGAATTCCAGTATCTACCATTAATCGTGAAAGATTTGAATTCTTTATGGATTGATAAGCTCCTAAAACCAAAGGAATGTCCCATGGCCCCACCCAGGAGCCAGACTTACCTCCTTCTCCCTCCCTGCCCTAGAGGCCTGCATCTCAAAGCTCCTGTAACTGGAAATGTCCCAAGAGATTCTACTCACCTCCACCGCCTGCGAAGGCATCCTCAGTCTGGTGAGCTTGGCCTTGGCAGGCACTTTAACATCGGGTTTCTCAAAGCTTTGCTGGCCATAGTCCTCCATCGGCGGCTTCAGCTCCGGGGACTCGCTAGGAGCCTGATCCTGACCGTCCATGGGTCGGACATAGGCTGTGGGCTTCTGCTGCATTGCAACACTTTTTGAGGGGAGGGGAGGAGGTGGAAATGTCTGAGAAGGGGCTACACCAAGGCTGGTGGCTGCCACCAAACTGTCATGAGGAGTCTCACTATCTTGGACCTTCACCACCAGGTCCTTGGAAGATGTGGCTGCACAGTAGCTTTTGTTGCTAGTACTACCACCGGGAGCCTTGCTGCTTCCCTGCAGCCTGGAATGTACAGGTGACAGTGGGGCCACTGGGGATGGCAAAGAGGAGATTAAGGGTGAGAGCTTCATCTCCGGGGCTGAGGCACCATCACCTCTGCGGTCACACTTTCTGTGGTTGGAACAGTGCCCCTCCTGACTGAGGCGATCTTGAGTCAGACGCTGGCTGTCGGGCAGGCCATGGGTTTTGGCATGGAGACTTGGCACTGGTTCCATCCTTGGCGGGGCTGTCTTTGGGCTGTGGCTAATGTTACCAACAGAAAGTGGTCCAGGGGCTGAAGAAGTATGAATAGGCTGGTGGTAGACGTGGGTGCGGAAGGAGTTAGATGGGACGCTGCTCCCCCTGTCATGAAATAAAGGGTATCTCGGCTTCCCTGACCTGTCTTCAGAAGACTTGCTGCTCAAGAACTCCTTCATCTCTTCGTAGTCTCCTAGCATGTTCTGTATCCGACTCGACAGCTCGTCACCTTTTGCAGTCTGAGAAAGAGAAAGACAGCAAGACTCAGACCGCGGAAACACACATCTAAGCAGAGCAATCACTTAATACACTATTATATAATATCGTTAAGAGAGAACCCTCTCCGCTTCATGTGTAATGCAATGTTAACTACACACCCACCCTCAGAAGCCTGCTATGGATACACATTACTAATTACAGGAGACTAACATTACAAAAGAAAACCACACACTTTGGTAATTCTGACTAACAATGTTCAAAGAGTTTTCAGATTTTGTTTTCAAAAACAACCTCTGGGATAAGTTGTTTTCTCAGTTGTGACCCCTGGTTGAACTCAGTTTCGATGAATAACTTTTCCGTCAAGTTTAATATTGTGATGGGCAGCCTAGCTACCTCTCACACATGGTAAATACCTTGTAGGGCTCTCCAAACAGCGGAGTCCTCTCAGCAAAGGCCTCTTTCTCTGCATGAGCTTCTTGGTTGCGTCTTTCCCTCTCTCTAATCCGAAGGAGGTTTCTATCTTCATTGTACAAGCTTTTCCAAGTGCCACAAAAGAAGAGAAAACAAAAACCTATCAGTATTCAACTTTTTTTGTGTACACACAGGTGTGGAAGGAACAAGAATGGGTCTGAGATGTGATGGGATGTAACTATAGAAGATGCCCATGGGATTGCATACTGCTATTCCGTCTTTCCCAACTTTCACAGCTTAAAAAAAAAAAAAAAAAAAAAAAAACCTAACACCTTTTCTGGCCTCTGTGGATACCTGAGGGTGCACTTGCATTCACACATGCACGCACACACACTTCAACATAAAAAAGGAAGGGGGGAGGGGAAGAAGGGAAGAGGGCATAAGTCCTACTGTGCCAGTGGCTCACACCAGTAATCTCACACTGAGGAGGCAGAAAGAAACAGGAGGATTGCCACGAGTTCAAGACCATCCTATCTACAGGGAAAATCTGAAGTCAAAGGTTGATTTTCTAATTAAAAGATCACCAAATGCCCAAAAAATCATTTATTTTATCCTCAGTCTACTCTGAGGGTGTCTTAGCATATAAACTCAGAAGGATGATCCGTATTTATTTCAAATGTCAAGGATGAACAATCCTTGTAGATGTCAGCTCTACATACTAAGAATATCACAGCATCTAATTTGAACCACATGAAAAAAGTATCCAACATCATTGGATGTGGTACCAAACTGGCTAAGATGAACTTGCTGACAGGCAAAACTTAGAGAGAAATTCTGAAAGCAAGCCTGTTTCAACTACCTACCCCCAAACAGGCCCGTCCCACAGCCAATAACACAGCCTGCACCCTCTAGGCCCTCTGTGATCTACATTGAGTAATGGGAATAAAAGAACTACAGTAAGACTGTCTTCTTGACCTGCTTCCAGGATCTGTTATGGATTTCCCACTCAGTGCTATCTGAACAAAGGAAAACACTGATTGCCTTGGCTGTGTCTACCTATCCTTCCCAATTCTAGCTGAAGTCAAAGGCCCTTTCCAGTGGTCTCTCATGCTTTCATTCCTCTGACAGGAGCCTCCTCTAACTCAGCCTTCCTTTAATGACTGGGTTAAAGGGTCTAAGTCCCTCCCTGACTCTCATGTCACTGTCCATATCTAGAATAACAATCACTTGGTGGCTCTTGATAACTACACAATAACCTCTAAATCTGTGCTTTGGCATTAGAATTCCCTGACAATCTGGTTTGAATGAAGGTGTGATAGGATCCCACGGCTGCCCTGCAGCATTGTCACTTGTACTCTACTTGGAGATCCCCCAAGGCCCAAGGATACCTTGTAAGAGCCAGTTCCTTCCCCTCATCACCAGTCAGACTGGCTTCTGTAGTGCCCTACAGGAACACTCACTATACAAAACCACCCTATCCTCTAGTCACACCAGCCATGCTGTGACCTGGGAGCTGATTTACTTCCATTCCGATCACAAATCTCTGCCTCTCTCTACCTCCTGCCCCCCCCCACCTTGCCCACATACCTCCACCCCTAGCTTTCCATTTCTGAGAGATTCAGTAATTCAAACGTCACCCACTTTAAAGACACCCTTTAAAGCCACCAACTATGTACCTGCCCAACACCCTCTGGCCTCGGTGAGCTCCTACACTTATGTGGTACACATAAATTCATGTGGCTTCTTACACATAACATAAAAGCACAAGAAATATTTTTTAAGACCAATTTCAAAGATGACAGATATGAACTCATGGTGTCAAAGATTACTTTATGCTAGTGGGCAAACTAAAACACAGAAAGAATGAAAATATAAACTAGATTCTTCCCTAGTAAGAGCTGGGTTGTCCCCAGGCTGGCAGATGGGGAGATGAAGAGGTGGGTACCTCTGTGCAGCCTCAGCTGGCCACGTCTGCCGCCCTCTTGTCTTCTCACACTCTTGGCTTTCCCTCTCTCCCTTTGTTTGGTTTGTTTCTGAAACAGGATCTCTCTGATACCACCCCTCTGCCTCTGCCTCCCCAGTGCTGAGATTAAAGGTGTAAGCCTGGCTAGAACCATATATTATAAAGCAATACCAAAGACTTGGACTGAATTTAAATCACGGTCACTATTTAGCTCAAAAATCTACAGGTATTGAGGTGAGCAGAGACACCATGACTGTCTGTCAGGTGAATCCGAGTCCAGACTGGAAGACTCACCCACGCTGTCCCTGTCTGTGGTCTCTTTTGCCAAGGCTCCTGGACAAGGCAGAGGGCCAAGGAACCAGTTCACAGAGGTGTTCAGGGAGGCCTGAACAGGGAGACCTGTTCTGGGCCGACATTTTTCTTTATGCCACTAACAGCATTTGCCAATTCTACCGGACAGGCTTCTTGTTTTTACTTCAATGCTGACTTGCTACAAATCTGTAGTAGCTTAAGTGTTTTGTTTGTTTTTTTTTTTTTAAAGGGCCCTGGGCAATAATTTTTTTTTTTTCGTAATCCCTTTGAAATCAGGGGCAAGGTAAATTTCAAAACAAAGCAGTTGCGATCATCCATAGTACACTGGGACCTTTGCAGACAGTTTCAAACCAAGTACAGAGTAAGGTGGGGAAAGACGGAGTACTGTTATGTGCACTGACATGTGTGCAGCATGCTGGGCAGACACTTTACAGCATGCATGTAGAGCAGAGATAGTTTTGGAGAGTCTAGTCATTCCCTTTCACCTTCACGTTAGTTCCAGGAATTAAATAAACTCAAGTTTCACTGGCAGTGCTGCCACTGGGCATTACCCTTTCTTATTGTTACTGTAGCCACTGGGATGTGTACAAACACACACACACACACACACACACACACACACACACACACACGATGATCACAGGACTACACTATGGCATTGTTTCTCTCCTACTTTTATGTAATTTTATGTAAATTCTAGAACTTGAACTCAAGTTGCCAGGCTTACTCAGTATTCACTAAACCTCCAGGGCCATTTTCCAGACTGGAAGAACATATGTATGATGTATGTGTGTGTGTTATTTATGCATTATGCATTGTGTGTGCATTGTACATGTATTATGTGTGTGTGTTACATACATATGTATTATTTAGGTATGTATGCATTATGTATGTATTAGATATGCATTGTGTACGCACTATGTGGTATATATGTAGTAGGCATATGTTATGTATGTGGACATATATGTATGTATGTATATATGTATTTTTTCCCCCAAGACCTGGTTTTTCTGTGTATAGCCCAGGCTGTCTTAGAACTAACTCACCCTATAGCCAAGCTGGTCTCAAACTCACAGAGATTCACCTGCTTCTGCCTCCTGAGTACTGGGACTAAAGGCGAGCACCACTATCACAGCCTACACACCCTGCACAGTCTGGAAGAATTTTTAAATGAGGGAACTTTTTTAGACAGCAGAGAAGGTCTTGTGATTCTCACTCTGTAATTACCTTTGAATAATTACAAGTTAACCATGGCTTTAATTAAAGACCACCACCTCCTCCCAGGAAAAGCCACACACCATTTTCACTTTGGGTAACAACACATTGATACCCAAATAGCCACAAATCAGAGACCCTTGCTTGCTGATGGGCACAGCACCGTGCATCCCCTCCTTCTGTGAGTATCAGAGGAGAGTAAAGGCCTTCACAGGAGCAGATTAATTACAGAGGTCACAGTTCCCAGTCTGAAGACCGGGAAGGGCCCAGAAGGAAGCTGCTAGGTGCGAAGAGTGGTGAAGACAGCAGCTGTGGCAGGGACCAGCACCACCATGCTGCACCTCAGTCGGCACATCCTGGCCGCATCACCTTCTTCTCCTTCCTATTTAGTCTTCAGTCAGACCTGTCATAAATAGGATTGTTTAGCAGACCCATTTTTCAAGTGGAAAAACATGAGGCTCAAAAATTGACTTTCTCATGATGCCCTGGAAATCCAAAAGCTTATGTTCTCAGTCTCAGATCTGCCAGCAAACCCGTCTGGCTGTGTTAAACGGGGTGCTGACAATGAAGGAGGTGTGCTAGCTTATAATCACCTTAATTCCTTAGTTTCACAGAGGTGTACGTCAGTCCAGGCATTATCCCTGCCTGGGAACCACCTCGAAACCACAAAATACGTGACCAGTCAACCAATCGCATAAAGACTTTACAAAAGTGTCAGAGAGGGGCGAATCGGGTACAGGTGTTTCTTGTATTCTAAAAACTGAACTACAATTCTTTAGATCCTTTTGTTAATTTTGCTGATCCCATAATAACCTAGTAGTAACCTCTGGACTCATGATGGACTTACACAGCTCAGTTCTTGAGCCAGCTGAGGTGGGCCGTAACCCAGATGTTCCCACTGACAGTTGGAATTTAAACTCTAACTTCAGCTTTTTAAAAAAGAAATCTGAATGATTTGGGGACCTAAAACAGGTCAGGGTGTGCTCACTTTCAGAGAGCTGGTGAAAATCCTGACAAACTCAGCTCCAATCCCTCACACCCTCGGCTACACTGGTTAAGTCAACCCCATGCTGGGCCTGTCATGGCACATTTACTCAAAGGCTTCTCCTTGGGGGATGGAATGTGCCGCAGAGGTGCTAAAGTACTGGGAAAATGAAAGTTATCCCAGCTCTGTAAGCATTAAGAGTGAGAGTGAGTGTGTGTGTGTGTGTGTGTGTGTGTGTGTGTGTGTTAAAAGGGGGGGGGGGGTCTCTCTTCTCTTTCCTTGGCACTAAAAAGGGAAATAGCCAACAAAGCTCACACAAAGGCCCTAGCTGGGCTGGAGCCCTGAGGCAGCATGCTGGCTCTGGTATCATCTGGCTGAAGCACCTTCTCCCAGGCTAGAGCCCACAAGCCCTGCCACTAAACTAGGTTAGTCAAGCGGGACTGCCGAATGCCATTCCCGCTCCCATGGCAACCCAGGGCCCCACAGGGCTGCCTGCGAACAGCAGACTACCCATTTATCACCACTGACTGCTCACCCCGTGTATGCCTTTCTCTCAGGGATGTTACCAGCTCCCTCTAGAATTCATGTTCCAAGTTTTGATTCCCCTCTGGAGAGGAGAGGTTAGTATATTCTTTCACACACTTATCC